CGCTAACCACCAGGCCGTACACCTCTTGATAGAAATAATTTCGGAACTTATATTTAAAGGTTAGGATTGCGCAATTTCAAAAAAAGGTCAGAGGGAACAGCTCATTTGCATGTATTTGAATAACAAAAGCAGAATATTTGAATATGCCAAAAGACAGAATACACAAACTATTCAGGATCTGCATATTCATCAGTATCAGTAGTAGATTCATAATATATTTAGAAGCCTTCCTATATTCAAACCCCTTCAAAAAATCCATTTCTACAGGTAAATTATGGTTTTCACAACAAATTGAACTATTTGAGATTCTGCTATGACTGAAATTTCAGGGTGTCCGAGTTTTTTTAAACTTTTTTCAGCATTGGTAGCAAGCCTCCAAGTCTATCTTGCTCGATACTTTCTAGGAACATGATGGGCATTACAAGTACCTGCTTATTTTGAATAAGAAGTTCCTACAATCCGATGAAAATTATGCCTAAAATCTTGAAAATTCAGGAAAAATTAAAAAGCAATAAAATGGTAAAAAATCAGTTAATTTCTCCAGGGTTCTCAAGAATTTATGAGTCCTATTTCACGTCTTAATTAAAGGGATATTAGCGATTACTTTTTGCAATTACGAACAGTACGTATGATGGACATTTTCAATTGCTCCACTTGAGTGAACAAGTTGTCTAATGCTTTGTAATTTTTATTTACTCAGATATGACATTAAGAAAAAGTAACTTAAAATATGCTTGATTTCTTTCTGTCTAGACAAAAACACACCCTGTAAAGTAGTTCTAAAATATGGGTTTGTAGTGCAAAAAAAATCTACTCGTATTCCCTGCTCCAAAAAGCCTAAAACTGTTCCAAACACGACAAAAAGGCTGAAACTGTGTACCATCCGAAGATAATCTCTACACTTTTTTCCTGAAAATCTAATCTTTGAGCGTTGTAGCATCTGGTCTGTGCTGTCTAGGTTTGTCGAGGGAAGCCCCGGCTAATACCACAGCAGACGGGAACCACTTCGGCCTCGCTTCTGATTTTTGCCTACAGGAACAAGAAAAAAAAAGCAAGAGTGTTTCAGGACATTATATTACATACATGTAGGCCGGTGGATGTTTAGTCATCGGCAAATGAAACTAACAGTATTAAGCAGGCTACGAGTAGACAGCGCCCTCTGTCCTACGTAATTAAGCCCATAAAAATTCTCAGATTATCACAAAATTCAAACTATGTTCGGTAGTCTGGTGAACAGCATGCACATCTAAAACCACAACATACACTCCCAGCTGGCTGAGTGCAATCCAAAGCTGTCATCCTTTCTCATCCCAGAAAATAAAGAATGTTTTTGGTTATTTCTAAATTGACTCTAATATTTCAGAAGAGTGTTACTTTTTCGTGTTATTTTTTGTAGCTCTGGAAACGTTTTTTTATTAAAGGGAAAGAAAACTGAAATTATGAGAACTCACAATGATTTTGTTCGCGCAGACCCAGTCAAAGTATGAACTTTTGTGTCGGGGAAATAAAGATACTGTGCACGTGTCCAGCAAAATTACTTCAGTAACATTTGCCAACGGCTACATTCCACTGTCATTACATTAGATTATTGAGAAAACTGAATGACAAGATTAAGGAATAGCTTAAATGTTTTTCAATAAAGTGCTCCCACCTCATTAAAGGTAGCTGCAATCAATTTCTTTGAATGCACCTTTGTGGCTCAGTTAATCTTCTTTTCAATTTTTTCTTTTAATTTTACTATTTCACAGGGTATTTTACGACCTATTTTGGTTTTTTGTGCTAATGATGAGTATCTCCATATTAATGAGCAGAACTGTGATGTCATCGCAGGACGAAAACCTCAATGCTTTGTACACAAATCCTGCAATTTTGTAGATGTTACTGGACTCAGTTTTCCTTTCTTTGTCAATTTATTGTTTATGTGCATAGCAACAAGGAAGTATAAATCCTCTCCCCTCAGAACGTTTTCAGTGGGTAAACTCTGCATTCACAGTTTGAAACACCTACATGTATGCACTGAAGCATGTGTTCCGTAGATGACTTCAAGCAACAGCACCCTCAGTTGTCGAGGGAAACATGAATAACTTCAACCATTAGGCCGTCAGCTGAGACTTAGGAACAGGCTGTAAAAATGGGTTCCGTTTCAGCAATGCTGGGAATACTTTCTGAATGCATAAATGCGAGGTTCTGTACATCCCAAACGTTATTTAAAAGTTCTCCAAATAAATCCTGCAGTTTTTTTTAGTAATTCCATCTCAAAGTTTGCCATAGTCTTGTACACGTATGCTAAAATCCTCCCCCACATAAGTGTGGGTCGGGTCTCCTAGTGATAGTTACCTAGTGACAATTTCCCATGTGCCTATTACAATTTGCTGAAATGACTTGATTATGCATGCTGCCCCTTACCCACCACAATGCAATGTGGTCCTGCCGCCATGTTTATCCTTCTTTTCGAAGTGGAGAAGTTCCCCGGAGCCAAAGTGGGGAAGGATGGGCGAGAGTGGCTGGACAGGGCAAGTATCACTAGGAGACCTGACCCACACTTATGTAGGGGAGGAGTCTCCTACGTTCACATACCCCTGTCCAGCCTACATACGCAGAGTAGCACCGTACCCTGAGGAGGGTCAGCAATGGGAGAGTAATTACAAGAAAACATAGGCGGGCGCTACTCAAGGGAACACTCACTATTCTAGAGCAAAGTAACAACATCTACGATGAGGAATTCTTTGTTCGGTGAGGGACAGCACTGGATGCTGTCCCTCACACTGAGCATAGAGTTGCACCGTGAGTCGTCTCACTCCGCAGGACATCCTTCAGGTAGCACTCGGTGAAGGTGGAAGGAGATTTCCAACAAGCCCCCTTGCAAATGTCCACCAAGGAGACACCTCTGAAGAACGACCAGGACGCAGAGGCGGCCCGAACATCATGGGCTCTGATGTGAAATCGAGTCGTCTCGTCATGTCGAATCGGCCAGTCTTGATTGGCAAAGATGATGTGACTATAGTGTCCTTCGCCGCTGGATCAAAGGGTTTTGTAGTTGTGATGAAAAGTCTGGAACCAGTCTCACGGGAACGTTTGGTCCTCGCGAGATACCATTTGAGGGTACGAACCAGACACCATTTCTTGTTGGAGCTATCTGCCGAAAGAGAGGTTATGTCAGGGACGAAAATGTCCGGAGGCCAGAAGACAGGCGTCTGGTTCTTTGTCAGGAATTCGATGGCTGGGATAAGACGAACTCCGTGCGGCTCCCAGTGTATGTTACTTTCAGCAGTTGACAGGGCATACAGTTCACTGCCACGTCTGGAGGTAACGACCACCAGGAGGAATGCCAGCTGGATGCAAAGATGAAGATCAGATGCATCGGACAGCGGTTCGAGGACGGGCAAAACGTTGCCAAGGTCCCAGGAAAGAACAAGGCGTTTGACGTGAAGACGCTCGACAAACATTCCCCGAAGTAGATGGAGGATGGCAGTGATAAACTGTTGATCCATCGTTGAACCCTGAATAAACAGCTGCCAGGGCCGACCGGTAGTTGCGGATAGTAGTAGATCTGCAGGCCCCGAATCAAAGAGATACATGAAAAAGTCTGCAACTAAATCACAGAAGCTTCAGTCGGAGAAACATCGTGGTCGTCACACCATCTAGCAAAATGGTGTATTCAACTGGTGTAAATTTTGCGCGTTGAGAGTCGTCGGCCCCGTGCCGCCATGAATGCAGCATCTGCAGTAAGGCCTGACGCTCTGAGCGATCATTGGACAACACGTCAAGTGAAGATCATTCGGGGCTGGATGGAGGATTCCTAACCTGGGTTAACAAAGAATATCCTGCCTGTGCGGAAGGATCAGTGGTCGACGAACCAGGAGCCTTGCCGGTCTCGGGAACCACGGTTGTCAAGGCCAGAACGGGGAGATGAGGAGAATCCGGTATGGTTCTTGTTCTATCTTGGATAAGACTTAGGGAAGTAGGGATATTGGAGGAAAAGCGTACGCCAGAAGGCCGGACCAGTTCACCTGAAGAGCATCCGTCGCCCAAGCTTGTGGGTGTGAAAACCTGGAGCAAACGTCGTAAGATGGGTATTGTCAGCCGATGCGAAGAGGTTGACATGGGGGCACTTGATCTCTGCGAAGATTTGGGTGACCAGACTCGGATGTAGACTCAACTCCGTAGGGTGGACGGAGCCCCAAGAGAGCGTCTGCAATGTTGTTGGACATTCCCAGTATGTGAACGGCCTGGAGAGTGATCCTGTGATCGATCACCCACATAATTAAAGGATGCATAGCTGGGGGGGATCGAGTACCGCCGGTACTGTGGTTTATGTACGCTACTCACTGTGGAGTTGTTGCTCTGGATTCGAACCGAGAGACCCACTAAGTACTGCTGAAAGTGGCAAAGGGCATTGAACACTGCCTGAAGTTCCGGCAGGTTCATGTCTTTGTTGCGGAAGGAAGAGTCCCAAACTCTGGATGCATGAAGCGAAGGAATGGGGCCCCCCATCCGAATAGCGACGCATCTGTTGTCATCGTGATGTTCGGCTTCGGAGGAA